AGGCCACTCTTAACCTCCAGAGGACCCAGGAAGCCTTGCGTCCACCCTCCACTTTGAGCCACCCGATTCCCCTCCCCTCTCAGAGGACCCAGGAGTCCGGGCTCCCTTCCAAGGGACCCCTCCCCCCACCCACCCCGTCTCCTCCTTACTCACAGATCCATCTGGTCCTCACAGATAAAATGCGAAGCCTCTTCCTGGATCTAATAATAAATCACCCATTCTTAGCCCCGGATATGAAGGGCGAAGGCGGCTGGGTCTGAGTTGCAGAAGCTTCTGGGGCTGAGGCCCATCTCCCCAGAGGCCCCATAGAATCAGGGAATTGTAGCATTGGAAGGGACCCCCCAAGGCTCATCTAGCCCAGTCCCGGGAACACAGAGAGGCCAGTTTCAAGCCTACTGCCCACATAAATGCTACTGGCCATTCCCCCTCAGCCTTTTAAACTATCGTCCAACCTGGACGCTGAGGTCCAGCGCCGAGGGCCTTCTGGCGGTTCCCTCTCTGCAAGAAGTGAGGTTGCAGGGAACCAGGCAGAGGGCCTTCTCGGTGGTGGCGCCCGCCCTGTGGAACACCCTCCCATCAGATGTCAAGGAAATAAACAACTATCTGACTTTTGGAAGACATCTGAAGGCAGCCCTGTTCAGGGAAGTTTTAAATGACTGATGTTTTAATGTATTTTTAATATTTTGTTGGAATCTGCCCAGAGTGGCTAGGGAAACCCAGCCGGATGGGCGGGGTATAAATAATAAATGATGGTGATTTTTAAGATAGCATGAGAAATCCTAATAAAAAATCAGCCAAAGGGGTAGAAATGTGGGAATGTTGAGGAAAGCAGAAGAGGACATACGAATTAAATATGGATTCATTGGAATCATTTAAGTTTAGCAATGCAGCCTGGCTTGTTGCTGGCAAAGTTCCCCTTTTAATTTCCTCCTCAAAATAATAATAACACAACCGTTTTTTTAAAAAGCAAGAGTAAAGTTTACTTACATTCTGCTCACAGCAGTAAATCTGAAAGACAAGCTTTGTCCTGTGGTTCCAGTTAAATTTGCAGAGAAAATAAGTCTGAGCTAAGCCTAAAACGTTCTCCCTTGTGACTTCCAGACTCTGTGAGGGTGAGCCATGCGCTGCTGGCAAGAGAGCAAAAAAGAGGAAAAAAGAGGAGGATGCCTTTTGCAGGATCTGCCGGGGCCACGCCCCTCTACCTGGTCACGCCCAGGGGGAGGAGCCTCCAGACCAGGTGTGTCAGGAAATCCTCCTGGCTGGAGCCACACTCTCCTGGGTGTCCCCTCTGGGCAAGAGGAAATGTTGTCTTGGGCTGCATCACTGATGATAACATCCCACATACAATAGAACATACACTTATATACACAATTTTTATTCAGCCACCCAGAGTCCCAGCTTGACACAAACTCTCCTTTGGTAGGGCCTTCGCCAGGGTGTCTGCAGTCATCTCTTTGGCATGGCAGTAAGACAGCTCCACAAGTCCATCTTGGACTGCCTCGCAAACACCTGGCGTGGAATTTCTCACTCTGGGACAGCTTTAGGCAGCTCTGGTTTTCCTCCATCGGGCAGACAGGATCCTGTCTCACCAACCCAAAGTTCTTGGTTAGTTGATCTAGCCAGGCCAGCTCTCAGCACGCTTCTGTGGCCGCAATGTATTCAGACTCTGGAAGAGAACACTATACAATTCTGTATACAGTGGTACCTCTGGATGCGAATGGGATCCGTTTGCATCCTGAGTAGAACGTAACATGCAACTGCACGTGGCCTTTCGCCACTTCTGTGCATGCGCATGACATCATTTTGAGCATCTGCGCATGCGCGAGCAGCGAAACCCAGAAATAATGTGTTCCATTACTTCCGGGTCGCCACGGAGTGTAACCTGAAAACACTCAACCTGAAGCACATTTAACCCGAGGTATGACTGCATAACTGCCCCCCCCCAATGAGATGGGACCATTTCCAAACATAAACACATAGCCACCTGTGGATTTATAATCAGTTGTTCATCCAGCCCAATCTGCATCAGTAAAACCAATCATTTCAGGACTAGTAACAGCTGGCAGTCTTAATTTACAGTTTATTATACCCCGTAGATAGCGAACCAATCTTTTCACACCCACCCAGTCATATTCAGTGGGACATTTACCTTTCTACTCAGAATTCCCACTGCATTGGCTAAGTCAGGTCTACATGTAGTACTGTAGTAACAAGATACAAAAGCTTTCCGATCGCTGACCTCTACTCCAGTGTTTCCCAACCTTTTTTGGGCAAAGGCACACTTGTTTCATGAAAAAAATATCGAGGCACACCACCATTACAGCCCCGTGACGTCAGCACGCAGCGTCACGCGGGGAGGGACGCACGAAAGTGTAAGTTTCAATTTTTTCCCCTCCCCCTTGCCTTCCTTCTGTGCCAACCGCCAAAAAGCCAAGAAAAAAGCCAAGACTTTAGGGCAGCAGGTCGACACGGAAGAAGCTCCTACCTAAGGACAGGTGCGACGGCCGTGTCCTCTTCTGCCACACTTGGCAGCCCTGCCTCACGGTCGTGACTCCCACCCTGATTTCTCCCCGCAGGTCGAGCGGCACAGGCAGCCCAATGTGTCCAGCCCAGACACAAGCCCCGCTTCCCCACTCTAGATCCTGAACGCGACCAAGAGCTCTGGACTCCCGAGCAGGGTGGGAAAGAGGACTCGCATCTGGTAGCCTCCGGGCTCCTCGCCTGCTCGAGGGATGGCATTGCAGGCAAGCTGCCGGCCGTCGCCATTGCCGCCCCCTCATGCGAGTGGACCTGCCCGGAGTGGTGGGCCGGGGGAGGCTCGCTCTCTGTGGGGATGTGGCCCGCACGCGCGGCCCCGCTTCCTCCTGCCCAGGGCTGAGCTCCTTACCCGCAATCTCGGTCTCGTGCACGCGGATCCCACTTATTCTGAAGCTCGCGCCACTAGCCGGGGCTCTCACACCGTGCCAGGGCGAGGCGGCGCGGCCCACGGACGTCATCGCGGCTCGCCGCCGCCCTCGACTTCCCTGTTCCCTCCCCTCCCTCGGGTCGCCGTGGTTACCGAGGACTGCAAGCTGCTCGGGCGAGCGTGGGGCATTAAGTGGGAGAAGGAAAATTAAAATTAAAACTCGCCTGAAGGCCGTCTCTCCGGATACAGTGGTGCCTCGCAAGACGAAATTAATTCGTTCCGCAAGTCTCTTCGTCTTGCGAGTTTTTCGTCTTGCAATGCACGGTTTCCCATAGGAATGCATTGAAAATCAATTAATGCGTTCCTAGGGAAACCGCCTTCAGACCAGGTCCGGGGACAGTCTGTTCCCCGACCTCTTCTGAAGGCTGGGGGGGGGACAAGGGCTTTTCTTCCCACCCCCAGCATTTTAAAAAACCCCGGGACAGCGGAGGACTTCTCCACTGTCCGGGGCAATCTTAAAATGCTGGCGGGCGGCATTTTAAAATCGCCCGGGACAGCGGAGGACTTCTCCGTTGTCCGGGGCGATTTAAAAGCCCCTGGGAAGGCAGGCAGGGGGGACAAAGATTTTCGCCCCCCGCCCGCCTTCAGAAGAGGTCCTGGACCTCTTCTGAAGGTGGGCGGGGGCGAAAGTCTTTGCTCCCCCCTGCCTGCCTTCCCGGGAGAGCTTCCCCCGCCCCAGCCCCACGCCTGGCGGTGGGGGAATAATTTTTTTCCCCTTTATTCCCCCCTCGCCAATTTTTCCCGCGGCACACCAGGCAACGTCTCGCGGCACACTAGTGTGCCGCGGAACACCGGTTGGGAAACACTGCTCTACTCATTGTTGTGTGGCAACACCTTTGAGTCATCTTGATTCTTTAAAAAGTCAGAAGTCATGGCTGTGGCAACCGGGTGTGGTTCTTGCATCTGCATGCTCTGGATCAGTTCAGAAATCGTCTTCTTTTGGCTAAGAAGAAATGAACTGCCTTCTTCTCTTTCCACTCAAATTCCAAGGTAGAACTGGATCTTTCCCAGTTCCTTGACCTCAACATCTTTGCTTAAGTGTTTCACAACCTGCGCACAGTCTCTGTCATTTACTGTGGCAATAATCAAATCATCAACGAAAGAAAGAACATTATTGGACTTGGTGTACAAGCATTTTTCTGCATGGCAAGAAGGGCTATGACACTGGAAAGCAGATCTGGACATTGCAAGGTGAGGGAGGGAAAGTACACAAGATCTTGGACTTCTTCTGATTCCTCAGAAAAATCCACAACACTGTTTCTTGTGTCAGCTTTGTTGTGTTCATCAAAATAAGCTGCATGTCGTCCACTTACTTCGCCTGTTTGTAAGTCCATTATTCTGTATCCTTTTCCTCCAGAGGCGTATCCCACAAGAATAGCTGCTTGCGCTCTGGAGTCAAGCTTGTGTCTATGTTCCCTGGGAACATGGTGGCAACAAAGACTTCCAAATGTGTGACAGGCTGGGAATTTTCCCACGGCAAAGTCCAAAAGGTGTACGTTTGGCTCCCTTTGTTGGCAGTCTGTTTTGGAGATACATCGCAGTTCCTGTTGCATCTCCCCACATGTTTTGAACATGCATCCTTGAACATGCACCTCCTTGACGGCTCTGAACTTTCTTTCAGCTATTGAGCTCTGTTGTGGGGTTAAGGAACAGTGGCTACATGCTCAATTCCTTCCTCTTCTAGAAGAGATTGCATGTCACTTGAGCAATATTCACCCCCCATTATCAGACATTAGCATAGCCGGTGCTCTCTGGAATTCGTTCTCCGCCATGGCAAGGTAGTTCTTCAACATTTCCTGCCTTTCACTCTTTTCTTTGAGAAAATATGCTACGCAGTTCTTTGAAAAGTCATAGAGAAAAATTAGTATATATCCGTTCTTCCCCAGTGATGGAACATTCATTGGCTCACACAAGTCACTGCGGACTATGTGTCTAGCACTCTGGTGCTTTTCTGTTCAGTGCAAGGAGGAAATAAAAGTTTCGCAGCTTTCTCAGTGACACAACTTACACATTTTGTTGGTGCTGAGTTGTTCTGTGTTACCTGCAGTCCCCTCGCAAGCTCGTTCTTTTGGAGGTCCAGTATGGCGTTGGTGTCTCTGTGTCCAAGTCTTCTGTGCCAGAGTTTGAGGTCCGCCTCATCCTTGTGGTTTGAGCGCACCACTTTTGCAGACAGAAGTACTGAAAGATTAACCTCATATACACCTTTTATTCGCTTGGCTTGGACCTCACCATTCTTAGTTACTTTGCATTCTCAGTTTCCAAATACTACTTGAAAAACTTTTCTGTCCTTCTATTGTGGGTACAGAAATTCATAAGAATGATAAAAAATTGTTTTCATATGCGATAACTGCAGCAAAGATACTATTAGCCCAAAGATGGAAACAAGAAGAAATTTCAACTAAAGAAGAGTGGAAAGAGAAACTGATGAACTATGCTGAGATGGCGAGACTAACAGGGAAAATTCGGAACAAGCAGGACCAGAATTTCCTAAAGGAATGGAAGAAGTTTTCGATATATTTGGAAAGCAATTGTAACCAATTGACATCGCTTGTAGGGTTAGAAGAAGTTTTGTAAGGAGTCATTTATTAATTATTGTGAAAAGAATTAAGAATAGATGTATTGGAAATTTGAGTTTATAGCAATAATTATAGCAACAAAATGCATAGTTTAGAAAACCAGCAGTCGAGGTTGAAGGAAGTCTTAGGCTGCAATAGCCAAAAATTTCGAAATGACATTTAAAAGGATGTTGTACTGGAAAATATGTGTAAAAACTAATAAAAAAATATTTTTTTTAAAAAGAAAGAAAACCTTTTCTGCCCAAAGTAGACACACTGAGCATATTTCAGTTCTGGAAGATAGGGAACGAATGTTGCCACCTGCAACTTCAATATCACCACCTTGTGATTTATCAATATTATAATCTTCAAAGAAGTCCTTATTATATGGAAAATGGGACGTTGCCCCGCTAACTTGATTTGTTTTCGCGATTATTAGCAGTTAAGCACTTTTCTGGCAAAAGCAAGGACGCTGATAATTCCCCTTCTTTTCCTTTTCTTGCTTAAAAGGAAGGGGTTTTGGTGTTTTTGGAGCTCTGCAGTTCTTCGCAATGTGGCCTCCTTTGTGGCAATTAAAACACACAACTTTCTTAGGTGTGCCTTTGGCCTTCGCGTGATGTCTAGAGACATAATCGGAGTCACTGCTCCTTAGGTTTCTGACTGGAGACTCGTCTCTCCCTTGGCACTCCTGCCTCCAATAGGCAATCACATCTTTAAAAGTAGATTGGCCTTTATCCTCCCTTAAGTAAGCAAATGTATCAAATTTGGGTCCTAGTGTTGCTAGGAAGCACGCAACCTTTTCGTCTTCATCAAATGGACGCCCAGCCAGTTGGATTTTCTGCAGTATAGCCGTAAATTCATTCACATGTTTTGAAAACTCTGCTTTAGAATTCATTCTAAGCTTTAAAAGATCGCGTATTAATATTCTCCATTGAGCACACTTACTGATGTTTCCAGACGAAAGCTCCAATTCACTCTTCACGCTGCCTCCATACATCCGCTCCAAATCACTTAAAATTTGCGCAGCATGGTCTCTACTGTCAATTAGCGACAAATGTTCGTCTTCAAGTCCATCTAATATGGTTACCTTGGCTTTGCTGTTTTGTGATTTCCACAACTTAATTCTAGCCAAATCTTCTTCACTCGTGCCAGTGGGCATAGGCATTTCAATGGCATCTAAATTCCCTTCCGCTTCAAGGATCACCAACAGACGCTTTTTCCAAATAACAAAATTGTGTTCATTTAACTTAGGCATTGCTCGGTATCCGTAACCAGAGAAAGCTGCACTCGCCATCTCAAAATCTGAAAAATATTCAAAATTTGAGAAAATTGTTGCAGCAATTTATGTCTAGGTTGGGTGGGGGGGGGGTTGCCCCTCCAGCAGATATCCTGCACATGCAGCCCACTACCAAAATCAGCACAATCCCTTTTGTGACTTTTGTGATTTGTCCCCACAAAACACTTCATCACAGTTTCTTTCTATCTATTCAAAGGGCCTCTGCTGCACGATACCAAATGTAAGAATTCACTGATCAATGGATCTCTGTACTGGCTCACTGGGAAAACTTCAGAAATTCATATAGACCTAAACAAAAAAAATTTTTCTTTCCAGTAGCACCTTAAAGACCAACTAAGTTAGTTCTTGGTATGAGCTTTCGTGTGCATGCACACGAAAGCTCATACCAAGAACTAACTTAGTTGGTCTTTAAGGTGCTACTGGAAAGAAAATTTTTTTTGTTTTGACTATGGCAGACCAACACGGCTACCTATCTGTAACTGGTCATATAGACCTGTGAGCTCAGCTCCTCAGCAGCCCCTCTGCCTGAGTGATAATCCCTGGCATCCTGATACCTGAGTGCCAGACAGGTAGCCATTCCAGAAATAACAAACCCAGATGAAGACAAAAGTGTGTGATGAACTTGGCTGGGAAACAGGGAAATGTAAATATCTCTTTTTACACTTGAGGGGTGTTTGGTGGAGGGCAAGGGGAACCATGGGGCAGTGGCCAGGATGCTCAGATTCCTGCCACCAGACCTCCCCTTTCATGATGTATGAGTGATGAAGTTTGGGGGGGGTGTAACATGGGGATGAGCAGCTAATAAAAGTTTGGGTTCCCTTTTGTTTGGGGCTTCCATCTTGTTCCACCTGGTGGCAGGTGGGAGTCCTGTCACAACAGTCTTCAATCAAGACCAAGCCTACTGGCTGCTGTTTTGCTCTGGGATTCCTGGCTGGGGTCCTTGTTTTTTGTCCAAGGGAGACCTCAGATTTCTCCGTTAACATTGTCAACATTCAAAATCAAAACCTCAAAACTCAAAGCAACTCTTCGCTGCCTCAGCTACTGCTGTAAACTCTGAGGGAAGCTGGAGGGGTGCTTAATCCCCTCACACAATGGAACAATAGACCATGTGCTTACCAGGAAGTAGACAAAAATACTTCCCGGCTCAGGATCTCAATCCAGTGCCATCCACCAAAAACACTCAAAAATACTCAACTCTGGGCCCCATAACCCTTTGTGGGAATGTTGAGGAAAGCTGGAGAGGATATATGGAATAAATTTTATCCCTCCTCACTCACGAGAGTGAGCAAGGAGCAGAGCACATTTCCTTGCGCATTTGCTGGAAGAAAGTTGATGGATTCCTTGGAATCATTTAAGTTGAGCAATGCAGCCTGGCTTGTTGCTGGCAAATTTCCCCTTTTAATTTCCTCCTCAAAATAATAATAATAACACAACCGTTTTTTTAAAAAAGCAAGAGTAAAGTTTACTTACATTCTGCTCACAGCAGTAAATCTGAAAGGCAGGCTTTGTCTTGTGGTTCCAGTTCAATTTGCAGAGAAAAGAAGCCTGAGCTAAGCCTAAGATGTTCTCCCTTGTGACTTCCAGACTCTGCGAGGGTGAGCCATGCGCTGCTGGCAAGAGAGCAAAAAAGAGGAAAAAAGAGGAGGGTGCGTTTTGCAGGATCTGCCAGGGCCACGCCCCTCTACCTGGTCACGCCCAGGGGGAGGAGCCTCCAGACCAGGTGTGTCAGGAAATCCTCCTGGCTGGAGCCACACTCTCCTGGGTGTCCCCTCTGGGCAAGAGGAAATGTTGTCTTGGGCTGCATCACTGATGAGAACATCCCATAGGGTTACCATGCCTCGTTAGGGAAATGAAAGACCTTCTCGGATAAATCCTATTTCTCCCGTCTCTGGATTCTTAGCAGAAACTTGTGTCTTTTCTTGTTTGCAGCGGAATAATTCTGAACTCGGTAACTGGGAATCATGAGTGAGTCCGGAGCGGGGCTGCCGCTGCCTCGTTCATCTCTTACTTTTGTTGTTGTTGAGTCGTTTAGCTGTGTCCGCCTCTTCGTGACCCCCTGGACCAGAGCACGCCAGGCACTCCTGTCTTCCACTGCCTCCCGCAGTTGGGTCAAACTCATGCTGGTCCCTTCAAGAACACTGTCCAACCATCTCGTCCTCCGTCGTCCCCTTCTCCTTGTGCCCTCCATCTTTCCCAACATCAGGGTCTTTTCCAGGGAGTCTTCTCTTCTCATGAGGTGGCCAAAGTCTTGGAGCCTCAGCTTCAGGATCTGTCCTTCCAGTGAGCACTCAGGTCTGATTTCCTTAAGAATGGAGAGGTTTGATCTTCTTGCAGTCCATGGGACTCTCAAGAGTCTCCTCCAGCACCAGAATTCAAAAGCATCCATTCTTCAGCGATCAGCCTTCTTTATGGTCCAGCTCTCACTTCCATACATCACTACTGGGAAAACCATAGCTTGAACTATACGGACCTTTGTTGGCAAGGTGATGTCACTGCTTTTTAAGATGCTGTCTAGGTTTGTCATTGCTTTTCTCCCAAGAAGCAGGCGTCTTTTAATTTCGTGGCTGCTGTCACCATCTGCAGTGACCATGGAGCCCAAAAAGTGAAATCTCTTACTGCCTCCATTTCTTCCCCTTCTATTTGCCAGGAGGTGATGGGACCAGTGGCCATGATCTTTGTTTTTTTGATGTTGAGCTTCAGACCATATTTTGCACTCTCTTTTTTTTTTCATGCGTAATTTTTATTGATTTACATAATAAAAGAAAATACAAAAATTTAACATCTTATTTTCACAGATTTTTTGTTTTGACTTCCTTCAGCCATTCCACAAATCTTTCGTACCAGTCTTATATAAGGTTTCGCATTTCCTATTTTGTATTGCCATTAGTCATCATAGTTCTTCCAGATTTCCTGAGCAATACCCTTTACTTTTTACAGAGCCCCTTTAAATCCCACTAGTGTTGTCTGTCTTTCACTTAAATTTTCCAGATATTTCGTAAAGCTTTCCCAGTCCTTAATGAACCTCTGGTCTTTTAAATATCTAATTCTCCCCGCCATCTTATCCAACTCCGCGTAGTCTAACAATTTGAGTCTCCATTCCTCGATTGTCGGCAGGCCCTCTTGTTTCCAGTTTTGGGCTAGTAGAACTCTTGCTGCCGTTGTTGCATACTGGAACAATTTATGATCTTTCTTCTTTACCTCCCTTCCTACTAATCCTAACAGGAAAGCCTCGGGTTTTTTTAGCAAAGGTATAACTTAAGATTTTTTAAATTTCATTATATACATTCTCCCAGAAACTTTTTACTTTTTGGCATTCCCACCACATGTGATAGAAGGACCCCTCCCTTTCCTTACATTTCCAGCATTTGTTGCTTGTTCCATACATTTTAGCCAACTTAGCAGGAGTCATATACCATCGGTAGAACATTTTCATTAAATTCTCCTTTAACGTTATACAGGCTGTAAATTTAAGATGTTCTTTCCAAAGTTTTTCCCACTCTTCTAAGTATATGTTGTGACCGATATCTCTAGCCCACTGTATCATTACTGATTTTACTTCCTCATCTGTTAGGTTCCACTCTAATAGCTGGCTATACATTTTAGATAGAATTTTCTTGTCATTATTCAATATCTCTGTCTGAAATCTTGAAGGTTTGTCAGCATATCCATTATCTTTTATATCTTTCCTAAACATTTCATTTATTTGGAAATAGTGGAGCCAATCATAAACTTTATCTTTAATCTGGTCATACGGTCTCATTTTCCATTTACCCTCTTCTTTAATTAACAGTTGTTCATAAGTAGCCCAATTATCTCTCATGTTTGTCTTTTATTTTGCGCTCTCCTCTTTCATCCTCATTGTTGTTGTTTAGTCGTTTAGTTGTGTCTGACTCTTCGTGACCCCCTGGACCAGAGCACGCCAGGCCCTCCTGTCTTCCACCGCCTCCCGCAGTTTGGTCAAACTCATGCTGGTCTCTTCGAGAACACTGTCCCACCATCTCATCCTCTGTCGTCCCCTTCTCCTTGTGCCCTCCATCTTTCCCAACATCAGGGTCTTTTCCAGGGAGTCTTCTCTTCTCATGAGGTGGCCAAAGTATTGGAGCCTCAACTTCACGATCTGTCCTTCCAGTGAGCACCCAGGTCCGACCTCCCTAAGAATGGATGCGTTTGATCTTCTTGCAGTCCATGGGACTCTCCAGAGTCTCCTCCAGCACCACAACTCAAAAGCATCAATTCTTCGGCGATCAGCCTTCTTTATGGTCCAGCTCTCACTTCCATACATCCTCATTAAAAGGTTCTTTAATTCCTCCTCACTTTCTGCCATCAAGGTTGTGTCATCTGCATATCTGAGGTTGTTGATATTTCTTCCGGCAATCTTAATTCCGGCTTGGGATTCATCCAGCCCAGCCTTTCGCATGATGAATTCTGCATATAAATTAAATAAGCAGGGAGACAATATACAGCCTTGTCGTACTCCTTTCCCAATTTTGAACCAATCAGTTGTTCCATATCCAGTTCTAACTGTAGCTTCTTGTTACATTATCCATCCCATAAAACATATATACGCCGCTTGATTGTAATAAAAGGAAAGGCGACTCGGAGAGGTTTGCAAAAAGAGGTAAAACGAGGAAATCGAGAGAGAGAACTTCACCGCCGCGCTTTAAAAGGCACAAAAGATGAAAGCGCTGAAACTATTTTACACTCGCCTCATTTTTCTAAGCGACTGGGGACAGGCTCGTCTGTTGTTAGCAGGGGCTGAAAATGCAGGGAAGGCGCCTGCTGGATCTCAAGAGGCAGGGAGTTCCGCAGGGCAGCGGCTGCCGCACGAAGCCCCAGTTGCCGGGAGCCCTTTTGGAGGCGAGGCGACCAGAGGAGGACGCCATAATCTGGGGCTGGCAGACTTGGGTTCAGTTCCTCTCCCAGGAAAGTCCCAGTCTTGTCTTTCCCTTGGGGAGGGCGCTGGAAGGGGAGGCGGGCGGTGGGGGCCCAGGAAACCACAGAGGGTCTTCCGCTGCTCAGGGCGCAGGAGATTGGGCTGTGGGTTCGAGTCAGGGCGCCAGAGAGCGAGCGAGCGAGCGAGCAAGGCGTTGAGTGTGCCCAGGAGAAGCAGAGGAGGAAGGTAAGATTCAGGGTGTGTGGAAGACATTTATTTTTTTGCAGAGGGGAGGGAGTTCTGCTGGAAGACCCCACGGCCTGCTCTTGCCAACCCGGCCGGAAAAGCAACAGGCAAGCTTTTGGGTGCAACAGAATTCCTCGTCAGGCTGGAACGAGAAGGGGAAACCATGTTCTTAGCTGTGGCGAGAAAGCTTGTGGTGGGCACCCTGGAGAATGGAGTGTTTGTGTGTTCTGCAGTCAGGATGGATGGATTGATTGATTGATTACCCAGCCTTCATCCTAAGGCCCCAGGACGCATCAAAACACAATATAATTAAAAACGACTTTAAGTAACTGAACCACCCCAGAAATAAGGCAGGTCGTAAAAATAGCCCTCGAGTGTCAAAAGAAGTCAAGCCAGAGAATGAGAGTCTTCAGCAAGGCGCCGCTCCTTAGGCAGGGAGTTCCACAGGTCAGGGGTCGCCACAGAGAAGGCAGGCCTCTCCCCCCGGGATGTCCCCCCCACCAAGGCTCCAAGGACAGAGGGAATCCCGAGGGGCCCCCTCTGCTCACCTCAGCACTTGGGAGGGTCTGGAGGGAGTGAGGGGGGTCTTTCAGGTGTTGGGGGGCTTGAATATTTCAGGGCTTGAAACGTTGAACTGGGCCCGGAAATGAAACGGGCAACCAGCGCAGCTGTTTTGAAACAGAGGTGATGGTAGAATTGTAGCCCTGGAAATGCACCCGAGGGTCATCTAGTCCAACCCCCTGAGATGCAGGAACTTGAGCTGAAGCATCCCTGACAGATGGGCCCCCAATGGTCAGGGATGATGGGAGTTGTAGTCTAGCAAGAGAGGGAGGAGGGGCACAATTTCCCCCCCCCCCCGGGGCAGAAGAGATTCATTAAATCCACTTTTGTCTCTCCTGGCCAGAAGAGGCGCCTCGCTTCCCCCTTAGTCCCAGGGCAGGGATTCCCCTTACTTACTCCGGCCTTGGGTTTCAAGCGTCCTGGGGCTTCCCACGAATTAAGAGGTAAGCACAAGAGCCTGAAGACACCCCCCCCGCCTCCCCAGGAGGCCAGCCTGTGTTTCTGGGTCGCCCCCAGAGGCACCTCAAAGCCATTTCCCTCGGCGTTTCTGCTTGGAAGGTCACGATCCAGCCGAGCTGTCATTTGGGGCGCATCTGGACATTTGAGGTTTCCTCCAGTTTGGCGAACAGCATCAGCCCAAAGGAAAGTGTTTGCGTGCGTGAGAGAGAGAGATCGACAAGCAAACCACCCTAACTCGGAATCGCTTGCAGAAATGTTTGGTTGCTTGGCAGGGGGCTAGACTAGATGTCCCTTGGGGGTCCCTTCAAATTTCGTGGTGTGGTGGAATATAGTTCCCTCCATTGCCTGTTGGAAAACCTTCTCTGAGACAGAATGCAGTTGGCTCGGGGGCTCATAGGACCCCTGCTGCTCCTGCTCTGACGTCAGAGGCCCTTCTCCCTGGCCTGCCCTTCGGGTCCCTCGGGTGGGCAAGTCCTGGGTGCAGGCTGGGCGGGAGACACGGCAGTGATGCTTCTGCAGCTGCTTGCAGGAAGCCCCAGAGACACCCCCCCCCCCATAAAAAAAGGTCAGGGAGGAGCGCACGCCTCTCTCAGGAAAGCAGGAACTCTGCTGGCTTGGCTTCCCAAGGAGAAGGAACAGTATTCTGCACGTGCTCAGAGACAACCCTGTTCTTTGCTCGAGGCGATGCGCTCAAGCTCGGCATACGCGGCACCTCCGCGCCCTTTCCCCCTGACATCCCAGACGGGCCTGACCAGGGTTCGCACCTCATCCTCAGGACCGTGGGTGCGCGCCATCCTAACGCAGAGGTGCGGCGTCACCTGCACATGGCTGCACGTAGTGTGCGCGATGTCACAGGCACCATGCGCAGCAGGCATGTACCTGGGGCATCGCAGGTCCGTGTTGCAGCGGCCAGCGGGGGCAGCTCCTTCTCTCTGCAGCCAGCGAGGCCCCCTTCTCCGTGGGGAGGGACTCGGGGACCCCTCTGCCTCTGTGCCCGAGCCCCCCACGGAAAGGGGGCCTCGCTGGCTGGCTGCGGAGCGGAGAGCTGAACTGTTTCTCTTGGAGGCAAGACCACCAGCTTTGCTCACTGACTTTGTGGGTGCCCGCCCCCCCCCCCAATTATATTATTCTGGGTGCCCAAGCCCCCTGGAGCTGGCCCCTCTGTGACCGCATGCCTTCCTCTCTCCCTCCCCCAGCGATGCTGCCTTGCGCCCTGCGCGTCCTTCTGGCGACCCTGGTGGCCGCGGCCGGAGCCCCCGACGCCGCGACGCCGCCCTGCGAGTCGGAGATGAACAAGATCAAGGACCTTCTGCAGGTGAGCTGCGTGGGGCGGGGGCTGAGCAGCGTCCCCGCCGGGCTGCCCACGGACACGGGCATCTTGCTGCTGGGCTCCAACCGCCTGAGCCGCGTCTCGCTGGCCTCCTTCCAGCACCTGAGCGCGCTGGTGGAGCTCGACCTGTCCAACAACAGCCTGAGCGCCCTGGACACCGGCGGCGGCGCCTCGCTGCCCGCCCTCCAGCAGCTCGACCTGTCGCACAACGGCCTGCAGAGCCTGCCCGCCTTGCAGGGGATGCCCGCGCTGAGGCGCCTGGCCCTGGCGCACAACGCGCTCTCGCGGCTGCCGGCGGGGGGATTCCTCGCCCTGCGCGCCCTGGAGGATCTGGAGCTGCAGGGCAACGGGATCCGGGATCTGCCCGAGGGGGCCTTCGAGGGGCTGCAGAAGCTGAGGGACGTGGACCTGGCCGACAACCTGCTGGAGGAGCTGCCCCGGGGGCTGCTGGCCGGGCTGGGCAGCCTGGAGATCCTGCGCCTGGAGAGGAACCGGCTGCAGAGGGTGCCCGAGGGCTTCTTCCCCGAGGAGAACTACTTCGCCTACCTGTACCTGGCGGGGAACCCCTGGGTGTGCGACTGCGCCCTGGTCTACCTGCGCGACTACATCCTGGAGTACGAGACCAGCGTGTATACTCGCGTGCAAGGCCCCGGGAAGGAGATCACCGAGAACAAGCCCGAGAGCGTGGAGTGCCAGGCGCCCGCGCCCGAGAAGGGGCGCCCCGTCATGCACTTCCAGGCGCACTGCCAGGGGCCCGAGGGAGACAGCGACGGGGGCCAAGGGGAAGGGGGCGCCGCCACCACTGAGCCCCACGCCACTGTCCACACACCACTGGTCTCCAGCACCGCCGCGCCGACCACGAGTGTCCACACCCCACCCTCCACCGCAGGGCCAGCCACGAGTGTCCGCACCCCGCCCTCCACCGCCGCTACGACCACGCGTCTCCACACCCCACCCTCCACCGCAGGGCCAGCCACGAGTGTCCGCACCGCACCCTCCACCGCCGCGCCGACCACGCGTGTCCGCACCCCACCCTCCACCGCAGGGCCAGCCACGAGTGTCCGCACACCTTCCACCGCCGCACCGACCACGCGTGAACGCACCATACCATCCACCGCCGCACCGACCACGCGTGAACGCACCATACCATCCACCGCCGCACCGACCACGCGTGAACGCACCGCACCCTCCACTGCAGCGCCGACCACGAGTGTCCACACCACACCGTCCACCGCCGCGCCGACCACGCGTGTCCGCACCCCACCCTCCACTGCAGCGCCGACCACGCGTGTCGCCACACTTGCTCCCATCACCACCGCACCATCTCCCCGTGTCCCCACTACGGCTCAAGAAAACCTCCCCGGTCCTGTTCTCACCTCCACCCCGGAGCCAGCCGCTTCCACAAGTCGCATGCTGCCCGCATCAACTCTCCAACCCCTTCCGACGGCGGTGGCTGCCACTTCTCGTCCTCTGCCAAGTGCCACGGCCTCGCCAGCCCTGCCACCTCTCAGCACTTCAGCTCCCAGTCGCTGCCCTCCTCCCGCCCCTTGCCACTGCTCCTTGCTGCCAGCCACAGCCCCGCAGCGGAGTTGGCACTGGTCGCCCAGGACCTGGGCCGGCTGGATGGCTGCCCACTGCTGCCTGCTGCGCCTGGTCCTCTACGCTGCCTGCCTGGCACTGGCGGTGCTGCCCACCTTGGCTCTGCTGTGTTGGTTGGGGTGGCTGTGTGCCAGCTTGCAGCGCCCAGCCCTGCGAGGTGGGGCGGGGCCCCGGCTGGTCAAGTACCGCCAGCTGCAGCAGAAGGACGCTCCCCGAGGGTGGCAGGTGGAGGGGCTCCAAGCGCAGGGTCCTCTCGCCGTGCCCCGCACCTACCGCGTCTGCAAGGTGTTTGAGGCCGCCCCCTCCCGCCACGTCAGCTGGCTCTTCGTCAGCCTGCCGGGGCCAACGCAAAAGTGGCCCTGGCAACGCGGGAGAGGCCGGGCGCCCTCTGCCTACAGCTTGGGTCGCGGGCAAGACGCCATTGGGGCTGTGCGGGTGAGGCATGGCACCGGCACTTTGTAGGGAGGTCCGAGGGCCAAGGGACCCCCTGCGAGGGCAGGGATGGAGAATCGTAGAATCGGAAGGGGCCCCTTAGGGTCATCTAGTCCAACCCCCGGCAATGCGGGAATCTCAGCTAGAGCATCCATGACAGATGGACACCCAACCGTCTTAAAAACCTCCAAGGAAGGAAGGAGGGAGACCGTTCCATTTAGAGGCAGGGTCTTTTTGCATGAAAAGAGAGAAAATGAACTTGTAATATCAGGATTTGAAGACTGAAAATGAAAACTGGTTTCCAGAAGATAGAATGGTTGGATTTTTCTGAGTGGATACTGCATATTATCTTTCTTTAATCTCTTCTCTCTCCTCCTCTTCTTACTTTCCTCTCTCTCTTTTCCTTTCTTCTCTTCTTTTTTTAGATTAGATAGCTGTTTTATACAAAAAATATGCTTTGTAATGGGTATAAACTGCTGTATATTTTGGAATAAGTACAGTGGTACCTCGGGTTACATACGCTTCAGGTTACAGATACGATACGATATCTTTATTGTCATTGTCCCATACAATGAAATTGAAAAATCTACATAAGACATTCAAAACCCCTAAAAACTCTGAAACCCCAGTTTAAAATACAATGTACTATAAAGACTCCTTATGCTGCGTTTAGAACCAGAATTGCATTTGGGTAGAAGCTGTTTCTCAGGCGGCTAGTCCTAGACTTTATAACCCTGGACCTTCTTCCAGAAGGCAGAAGCTGAAAGAGATCCTATCCGGGGTGCGCACTATCCTGCGCTATCTCTGCAGCTTTCTTATGGCACCTGGAAGCATAGATTTGATCCAAGGTGGGAAGAGTGCACCCAATTATTCTCTCCGCAGTCTTTACAACCCTGGACAGCATTGGTTTTTCCCTGACTGTACAGCTCCCAAACCACGCACACAGAAATAGTACCTCGGGTTAAGAACTTTGCTTCAGGATGAGAACAGAAATTGCACGGCGGCAGCAGGAGGCCCCATTAGCTAAAGTGGTGCTTCAGGTTAAAAACAGTTTCAGGTTACGAACAGACCTCTGGAACGAATTAAGTACTTAACCCGAGGTACCACTGTACCACTGTTTTTTTCCTAAGCACATATGCACATGCGCACATAGAGAGAGATATGTACTAAAAAGGGGGGGGGGCACAGTCACAGTTTGAACATAGGGAGAGGCTGCTGGGTCAGGCCGAAGGGGTCCACCAAGTCCAGCATCCTGCTCTCACAGTGGCCAACTTGATGCCCAATATAGGAAACTAGCAAGCCAGATTTGAGCATAACAACCGCTCCCCCGTCCTGAGGTTCCCAAGCATTATTGTCCAGCTGCCCTCGGCTGCCCTCTCCTCCTCCATGAATTTTTCCCATCCTTTTTAAAAGCCATCCAGGACAGTGGCCTTCCCTGCCTCCAGTGGCAGGGAGTTCCATAAGCTTAACTCTGCACTGCGTGAAGAAAGGTTTTGTTTTACCTGCCCGGCACCTTCCAGCATTCAGCTTCATGGCTTGACCATGTGGGAGAAAAACATTTCTCTAGCTACTTAATCCAGGCGATGCATTATTTTATAAACTTCTAGCTTGCAGCCAGAAAAAAGGGGTCAGAGGAACTCACTCCCACTGCTTCGGATGCCTCCCTGTGAAACCCAATCTCAGAGCAGGAGACTCTTCCATCTCAGTCGTGGGTTTGAGCCCCACGTTGGGTAAAAAAGGTTCCTGCATTGCAGTGGGGGGGGTGGACTAGATGGCTCTGGTGGTCCCTTCCAGCTCAGCAGTTCTTGTTGTTGTTTAGTTGCTTAGTCGTGTCCGACTCTTCGTGGCCCCCTGGACCAGAGCACGCCACGCCCTCCTGTCTTCCACTGCCTCCCGCAGTTTGGTCAAACTCAAGTTAGTGGCTTCGAGAACACTGTCCAACCATCTCGTCCTCTGTCGCCCCCTTCTCCTTGTGCCCTCCATCTTTCCCAGCATCAGGGTCTTCTCCAGGGAGTCTTCTCTTCTCCTGAGGTGGCCAAAGTCTTGGAGCCTCAGCTTCAGGATCTGTCCTTCCAGTGAGCACTCAGGGCTGATTTCCTTCAGAATGGAGAGGTTGGATCTTCTTGCAGTCCATGGGACTCTCCAGAGTCTCCTCCAGCACCAGAATTCAAAAGCATCCATTCTTCGGCCATCAGCCTTCTTTATGGTCCAGCTCTCACTTCCATACATCACTACTGGGAAAACCAGAGCTTTAACTATACGGACCTTTGTTGGCAAGGCGATGTCTCTACTTTTTAAGATGCTGTCTAGGTTTGCCATCGCCTTTCTCCCAAGGAGCAGGCGTCTTTTAATTTCAGCAGTTCTAGGATTCTATAAACCCAGTGGTCGCTGACCATTGGAGAATGAATCGGTGCCTTTTTGCGGGGTCTGGCCCAGTTCTTGAATAAGACTAGATAGTAGGGGTTTTTTTTGGGGGGGGCGGGCAATGGGCTGACTTGCAAGGAGCAGGAATGTGCCGCAAAAGTTGTGAGAGAGACTGAAAGGTTTTGCTTCGGTGCCACGTAGAAGGTAAAATAGCTATATAATGAAGTGAAAAAGGTATTTAAGTATAATTTTAGTAAAAAAAAACCAGAGGCGTTTTTGCTGGGGTTAATCGGTGAGGAAATAATAATAATAAAAAGATGTAAATTTGTTCATGTATGCCACAACGGATGCAAGAATACTTCTGGCCCAGAAATGGAAGCAGCTGGAACCTCCTACACTGGAATATTGGCAGATAAAGATGGTTGAGTACAGCAAGATCCAGAACTGGCGTAACGAACTGTTTCAAAAAGACTGGAGCAAATCTATATTTTATATGAAAGAAAACTGTAAACATTTGAAGACTTTTGTAGCTTTGAGCTGAAATGTTTGGTAATGTGGAAATAAGGAGCTGATGTACGTATAAGGAGGTGAATGTCAAAAGAAGATATAATGTAAAAAAAGTGGCTATAGAAATGCGAAGAAATTGTAAAAGATGTTTGGAAGTCAGAAAGAGGGAGGGAAGGAAGTCGATGCTTTGTGTGAGCAATGCTTTAAGTTATGGATTTGTGTAATGAAAGATGGAAAATCAATAAAAAGTATGTTAAAAAAATAAAATTAAAAAAAGGTAAAATAGCTACCACTGGGCTTAAGGACTCAGCACCAACTCCAGAATGGAAAGACACCCACAACTCCCTTGGGGAGATTTCCCTTGGCAACAGTGTGTGGGGGGAAATCACAGAACTGGAAGGGAACCCCAAAGGTCATCTTGTCCAACCCCCTTCGATGCAGGAACCACATCTGTTTAACCCCCCCCCAAAGGAGAGCCTGCCACCTTCTGTGCCACCGCCAAACGGCTCTTGCCAGCTGGCACTGCCAGGAAGTTCTTCTCAAGGTTGTGTTGGAATCTCCTTGCCATTTGAACCCATTGCTTCAGACCCTGCCTTCTGGGCAGAGGTCATTGCCAGACCCATCTGCCCTGCACCCCACATTTAGGCAGGACCCCCCATTCCGCAGCAGGTGGGGAGGGGTCTCCTCTGCTTTCCACCCCCTCGTTAAGCACCTATAGATCTATAAAGGTGCTTAACGATAGATATAATGGTCCCCCATTTTTTATTTTCGGCACCCACAATGTTGCGGGAGGCCCTGCGAGGCTGCAGGCAACAGACAAGGTTTTGCAGAAAGGATTTTTAAGCGGTGAAATGCTAAGAGAAGTGTGTTTTGGGGGAGTGTTAGCCCCGAAGAGTGAAGAAAGGCCCTGATCTTCCCCCACCATTCCTCTCGGCCCGCCAGTCACTTACCTTCCTTCTCAGCCTCATCAAATGCAATAAAAAAAATAAAGGGGGGGTCCTTGAGCTGCCCACACCTGAGCGACATTCTGGACCTGAGCAACTGGGCTACGGATCTTGCTGGTCAGAAAGAGCCAGCGGTCATTCCTTCCAGGAGAGAGGCTTAGGGCCCTCGTATTTACGGGACCGCCTCTCCTGGTCTGCCCCGCAGAGGACCTTAAGGTCCATGAATAATCAGGTCCCGGGCCCTAAGGAAGTCAGACTATCCTCCACCAGGGCCAAGGCCTTCTCAGTGGTGGCTCCGATCTGGTGGAATGCTCTGTCCCAGGAGACCAGGGCCCTGCAGGATTTAACCTCCTTCCGCAGGGCCTGTAAGACAGAGCTCTTCCGCCTGGCCTTTCAATTGAACTTAGCCTGATCTTTTATTCCCCCTTCCTTCCCTCCCCCTCCCCTTTTTATGAAGATTCCCCGCTCTGGGATCCCACAGCTAATTCTCCCCTGGTCTCCTCACTGGCCCAAATAGGACTAATTTAGCCAGCTAGCCCTGGTGATCATCTAATGTTTATTGGATGGATTTCCCCCCTAAATTGATTTTTGAATTCTGAATTTATTGTTATTCACGTTTTATGCTGTATTTTATGCTGTTTTTTGTTGCATTAATTGTTATAAATTTGTTGTTAGCTGCCCTGAGCCCGGTTTTCTGAACTGTGAAGGGCGGGGTATAAATAAAAATTATTATTATTATTAAAAAACTGAGTTCCCCTCGCAGGGTTGTCCCACCACCAGGGACCTAGACCGGACTTTCTATGGAGCTGAGCAGCCTCGCTGCTTCCTTGTGAGTAAACCACAACTCTGGTGTTGTGTGTAGGCAAGGATTGGTCCAGTTTTGGAACCACAGAGCTCTGGTGTATTTTGTGTTCTGATCTAACCTGCCTGCTTTTCCTTTACTCTGGTTATTTTGAATAGAGTTTCCTAATTTGACCACCGGAGTGTGTGTGTGTGTGAAATTGCCAACCTTGGGGTTTTTAGGATCCACCACATGCCCAGACGCTTGGAGTTCCTGCTGCTGGGAGTTTAGGATCAGAACTGAGAGGCCAGGATGGTCTTCTGAGATGTGGGGAGCACGGGCTGCCCTTACTCTCCAAGTAACTTACAAGGGAACTGCCTGGGAAATGCAGAGGGTGTTGGTCTCAGAGTCCCGGGGTCTTAGCGGGTTTAGCGGGGTCTGCGAGGGAAACGAGCAAGTTGCCTTGATCCCGGACTAGGGTAAGGGAGCTGGCCCTGCTTCTCCCAGCAATTTGTGGATGGGTTGAACAGAGGGGTGCTGGGTGCTCAGGCTGGGAAGTGCTTTGCTGCCTCTGCTCTGTACACCTGAAGGAGCATCTCCACCCCCATCGTCCAGCCTGGACGCTGAGGTCCAGCGCCTGAGGGCCTTCTGGCGGTTCCCTCCCTGCGAGAAGCCAAGTTACAGGGAACCAGGCGGAGGGCCTTCTTGGTGGTGGCGCCCGCCCTGTAGAACACCCTCCCACCAGATGTCAAGGAAATGAACTTTCAGAAGACACCTGAAGGCAGCCCTGTAGAGGGAAGTTTTAAATGTGAGATGTTTTATTATTATGTTTTTATACCTGTTGGAAGCCACCCAGAGCAGCTGGGGCAATGTAATGTTATTCTAAATGTAAGAAAAGCTTGCCAGGTCGGGTCTCTGGCCCTTTAGGTCCAATATCCTGTTCTCACAGGGGCCAAACCAGGTGA